TTATTATGAAACTGAGGTACAGCAAAGTTAAATAAAATGCCCAAGGTCACACAGCTAGAAGGTGAAAGAGCCAGGATTTGAACCTGGACCATCTGGTTTTACACCCTGAACTCTTCATCACTTCTTGTAAATATATGTTAACAGAATCAAAAAGATAGAGTAACTGCCTGACAGAAACATTTGCTTCTATTTTATTTTTGTCTTTTTAAGTTGGTTCTGGGTCATTTAAAAAACATCTTTACTTCACCATTAGTTCTCTTGTAAACCCTCATTCTTCACTAATGTTTTTTTGTTTGTTTAATATCAAACAATAATTTCTAAGCTAAAAGTAAGAAAAAAATTGTATGAACAACATTATATTCTACATTTTTATTATATTTCTCCAAATTAGTATCTTAAAAACTATCACCAAGCTTTTCCAACAATGTAGGCAATTAGGAAGAAGTAAGCACCAATTAATTTAAAAGTTAAAACAATAAAGTTCAAACTTTTGACATTTTCAAAGTGTTAAATTACATTTATGCAAAAAACAAATGTATTATTCCATGTTCTCAAGTGGCAACAAATTTTGGCCTCTGTTTAAAGGATTTGAAATTGCCATTCTTTTTTTTTTTTTAATGACTGGTCTCTTGAGATTTCAACTATTTGGCCAACAAGCATTAAAAAGTCATAGGCTTAATCACAAGTATATATAGATGAGTTTAATATCAACTAGTGGTACTAATTAAACAAGGTCATTTTTAACCTGTTTGCATGAAGACTCAGTGTCTTTCATTTTTAATTAATCTGGTAAACAACAACAACAAAAAAGAAGGATCTTTCTAGTTGCAAAACACATGAATCTATATAAAACATACACTAAATGCCAGAGTGTAAACAAAGCAGAAGTTATTGCATAGCAAATCTCTTCCAATCCTCTTGGGGAAAACAGAGCCTGACAATATTAGGTTCTAACAGGTGCAGATAGCAGAAGAATTACTTATTCATTCTACCAGAAAGAAAAAGGATAATAAAAAGCATAATTTAATTTATAATTTATGTTTACAAGTGTTGTTTTTAAGAGTTACAGTCTGCTTTTCAGATTACTTGGTCTGGTTCAACTTGACATGTTGCATCATAGAACAAGCCTGAAGGGTCTTCACAACATGTACAGTAATTAACACATCATTAACACATTAACTAATACACATTCAACATCATCAATGTTAATAGCATAATAATTAACTTATTGTACATAGCACATAGCACCCCCTGGCACTTTTCAAATAAATTTGGAAATGTATACTTTCAAATATTCAAAAAGGTAGCTATTCACATTGAAATATTTTCATCAATAAACATTTTTATACTAGTAAATGTGTGGTGTGTGTGTGTGTTTTAAATGAGGCATATTTAGGGATACTACAAAATTAAATCTATATTTGATTCAAGCTATAACAGTACAAAAACACAAAGAACAAAGACAAGCCTTACTCTATGAAAGAACTAGTAATACATTAAAAATTTAATACTTGGCAGGTCAAATCTGGATATTCTCTACTGAAGACAACCAATATTAATGAATCAGACTACAGAGTCATTGTCTAGGATCCCAAAGGAAACAATAATGTGAGTACAACAAATTCTTGGAAGAGGAAATCCTGCAAATTTACTTAACAGAATATCACTGGTCAACGTTCTGATCATAAATATGTTAAACCTCATATAATTTTTTTCTGAGTATGCAAACAAGCTAGATAGAGTTTTAACTAAAAATTCATTCTGATTTTATTTTTCAGTTTAAATCTCTGCAGTAAACATCTTTGCATAAATATTTGCCTCCCATTTAGCCTATCTCCATGTAAGAAATAATCATTTATTTTTTAAAAAGACAGATTCTGTTTTATTTCCACAATAAATCTAAAAGATATAAACAAAGCAGTTTCAAGTAACAGAAGGTTTGGATTTCTCTAACATTCAAGGTGACACCAGTAAAAGAAGGACAAAGACAAGGCATTGGGTGTTATAGTTTAAACAAGGGTACTGTCAGATCAGGTAGCCACTTTTCACAGTTGATCTGAAGAATAATATGCAGAAAGCTGACAACAAGAGAAGAGTACAAAAGAATGAGATAACCAAAATAAATACTTCATAGACTGTCTATCAGGTAGATTCAAATTAATTACTGCCTGTTTTTTTTTTTTTTAATGCTCTTTTTTGAAAGTGTTATTGGAAGTAAAACCCTCTGGAAAGCATGTAACTGGTTAGTTGGCTCTACTAAGTGCTAGGCACCCACTATAAACCAGGTACATATTCATTCCATTACCTTACATTACTTTCAGCTCAAGTTTTCATTCATTCACTCTTTCATTCAACTATCCTTTGGTAGGTACCCACTATATGTATAGCATGGAGCCCTGGTGGCACAGTGGTTAAGAGCTTGGCTGCTGTCCAAAAGGTTGACAGTTCGAATCTACCAGTCGCTCCTTGGAAATCCTATGGGGTAGTTCTATCCTGTCCTATAGGGTCACTATGAGTTGGAATCAACTCAACAGCAACGGGGTTTTTTT